TTGCAATGTTTTTTTTTCTTTCCATAAACATTTTTTTATTTACCTACAATGTACCTTTGAACTTGTTGGAAAATGTGAAAGAGTCAATTCCTTAGTACAGCCCCCTCCCTCCATGTACCTTATATCCCTCTCCTCTTTTGAAAGTGACTAATTGTTGTCTGTACCGGCCCAGCTCCTCCTCCCCTCCCAGTCTCACTACATAACCTTACTACTACCATACTATGGGGTTGATTTACTACAGGCAAGTAGACTGTGCACTTTGCAAAGTGCATTTGCACTCTGCAAGTGCAGTTGCTTCAGAGCTTAGTAAATGAGCAGAAGCTCTGATGACTTCCATCATCTAATCACCTGCAAGCAAAAATGCTGTTTTTTCTATTTTCCTTGCAAGTGATTGGGTATTCTTTGCGAAGTGAAGGTTTACCTCATTTACTAAGCTCTGGAGCAACTGCCCTTGCAGAGTGCACAGTCTATTTTCCTTTAGTAAATCAACCCCTATGCGTCACTTGAGTGACAGCTCTGGACCTGTTGGTTGCTGACATCACATCCAAGATGGTGGAACCCAGCAGTTGTCTTGGGGATTTTAGATGTCAACACGAGTGAAGCTTTTACAGATTATTTACACACCTAAAATATGTTAATGATCATTGCTGGTCTGGCGACAGGTCCTCATTTAGGATAACACTGCAATCATAACTCAAAATTTGCTCTAACTAAGGTCCCATTCACACTAGGATGTGGTGCGGGAAACTTTGTGCGCGTTTCCCACATCGTGTTCAAAATATACTAGGTGTGCGATCTACTGTGGGTGTCAACAGATTCCTAATGACACCCCAAACCTGCACTTGATCGCATGGTACCGCAGTACCATGTGATCCAGTTGTAGTGTGTTTTTAAAAGTAGCGCATGCACTACGTTTGGTGCAATGAAGTGCGATTCATTTGAATGGGCTGAAAATCACATCGCACTGAATTGCACAGGAACATGGAGCATCCATGTAATTTTTTTTTTTCCCATGGGATAACTGCTCGTTTTGTCTAGGGGGCGCCCGAAAGGCTAAACTTGCCCTGTCCTTCGAACCTCCCAAAAACGGCCCTTCCCCCACGTCCAGCAGTGGACTGTTCCTGCTGTCCTCATGCATGGAACCAGTCTATGGGCGTGATGACGTCAGGAACAGTCCATTCACAAGACCGCTCGGTGGATTAAGTAGGTATATCTATGCTCTTATCACCCTTAGACACAAACAAGCAGTGCGGGCACACACCCACTGCATGGTACAAAAATTATTTTGCCTGGAATTCTGCTTTAAAGTAAACTATATATAACCCTTTAACCCCTTCCCATCCACCCCAGTGTCCCTTAAAAAAGTTCTAAATGCTTAGGGTGGGGGGTGGGGATTGGGTGATCCTGTGACCATTGTGTCTAAGGGTGACAAGAGCATAGATATACCTACTTAATCCACCGAGCGGTCATATGATCAGTAGCTGGTCCTAGTCCCAATCTGGCTACTGATCATTATCAGGGACCAAGAGCTGTCTTTCACAGCTCAGTCTCTGTGCTGGGAGTATGCATGGAGTGCACTCTCAGCACAGAAACATTGGCTGCCCAGAGATGTATATATGTGGCGTGTGGACAGTGGCGTCCTGAGGCAGGTGCGGGGGGTGCGGCCCGCACCGGGTGACACCTACCGCACGGGGTGACACCGACACCGGACCCGCTCCACAAAAAGGTAAGTTGTAAAGCAAGCCAACGATCGGATCCATCCTGCGGGGATCGTCGGCTTTCTTTACAACTTACCTTTTCGTGGAGCGGGTCTGGTGTCACACCCCATATAGGTTGCATGCCGACGATTCCCGCAGGATGGATCGGATCTGCAGATTGGGGAGCATAATGGATCGGAGTCCGATCCATTATGCTCAATCCGCAGATCCGATCCATTCTGCGGGGATCGTCGGAGGGGGTATCACCAAGTGTTATCGCACCAGGTGACACCAACCCTAGGGACACCCTTGCGTGCGGGCGTTAAATGTGATATGTGTTAGGCGGTCATAAAAGGGTTAAACTGATTTTCATATTTTGACCAACTCTTTTCAATAGATAGCAATTTGCCATCTTTTATCCTGGCTCTCAAGGACCCCGTATTTTAGATTTTATGGTCCTGTCATGTTTTTCGGCAGTGACCCGTTACATTCCTGGAATGGCACGCTGGTATGAGCCTACAGACTGTACATAATATGCTGTTTATCTCTATTTTACAGTCAGCGGGCAGTAACTTTGGTAGCCCCTCAAGCTTTTTTTCAGGCTTCAGTGTGCAGAGCCCAAGGTCCTGTCCTCCCTTCCCAATAGTCTTCTATATCTGAAGATGGAAGCTAGGCATGCAGTCGATTGCTCCTAGAGAATGGTGCCATGCAGATACCGGGAAAGGGCTTAGCTTAGGGTAGCAGGCAGTAATATCATATGCAGAGGAGAAAGTGACAGAATGTAACTGTCACCGAGTCCTAAACCCAAGAGCCACGCAATGTGCAAAATATGAAACCAGGGGATCGTCTCGGAAGAGGACATGAGTACTCTGGCCTGCAGCACGGATAAAATCTAACGCATAAACCAGACAAACAACTCAGCGGTATGTGGCAGGCACAGCAAACCTCTGATCCATAATAAGAGGCCCTCAGCTCAGGGAAACACAGGATCCATATGAACTGCTACCTCTATAGGACTCAATGTTTTACACAACCGACACTTTTAAATCTCAGATTTCTTGCAAAAAAAGCCAGTCATTATTGTTGGCATTTTTTATTCGATGAATATTAAAGCTGAATTTCCAGGAAAATAAAAGGTTCACTTGCAGTGAGGGCTCCCCCCAGCACTGCAAGGGATAAATGCACATTTATGTCTAGGGTACCAGCAGGGTTGGTGTCACCCGGTGCGATAACACTTGGTAACACCCCTCCGACGATCCCCGCAGAATGGATCGGATTTGCGGATTGAGCATAATGGATCGGACTCCGATTCATTATGCTCCCCAATCCGCAGGCTGTGTGTTGAAGGTCCCTCCCTGTCACTAATGCAGATAGCAAAGGTGCAGCAGATAGAAATGACACCTAATGCTCTGGAATGAGACAAGTATATACTATAGAGCAGTGGTTCTCAACCTTCCTAATGCCGTGACCCTTTAATACAGTTCCTCATGTTGTGGTGACCCCCAACCATAAAATTATTTACCCAGTAATTATAATTCATGAGTGTCGTTTTACCTCTAATACTGCTGCTTTCAACACAGTAGCTGCGTTTAACAGAGTAGCTGCTTTCAACACAGCAGCTGCTTTCTACACATTAGCTGCTCTTTACACATCGGAAATATGTGTTTTCTGATGGTCTTAGGGGACCCCTGTGAAAGGGTCGTTCGACCCCCAAAGGGGTCGCAACCCACAGGTTGAGAACCACTGCTATAGAGGGATATGCTTTGTTCATATTTCATGTCAGAGGTTTACAACCACTTTAAATTCTCATTAAAAGAGAAGTATGGAATTTATTATTATTTTTTTTAACTCATACCTACCTAGGTGGATACAGCATCGGTCTGATGCTGCATCTGTTCCCCGCCGGCTCTAAGGCTGAGAACCTAGCGATTAGACACCACTGATCGCTCAGTTCTCACTGCTGCTCTGTGGAGGGGGCTGTGGATGGGTAAAGAGGGACTGGCTCTGGCTCTGGCTCTCAGCGATTGCTGAGAGGCTGAGCCAGGTGCTGGTCCAGACATCTGGGTGGACCTAGACCAGCTCAGTGACTTCAGTTAACAGCGGACTTTAGTCCGCTGTCAGCTGAAAACGGGTCACAAGAGTGCAGAACGAACTACATTCTTGTGATCCACAAAAGTACAGCCAAAAGAGCTTAAGTCTAGGGGTAGAGTAACAGGATGTATTAGTTACCTTATTAGTCAGTCCAACAGGCTTCCATCATGCTGTCCAACCGGTCCCATGAAGCCTCTTACTTTTGGTATTCAGGATGGTGGTTGCTTTCTGATGCCATCATGACCAATGTAGGACCAACAGTCCTGTATTGCACATGAAGATGGCAAGGGTCTGCCCACAACCCACAGTACTGGAGAGAAGAAAGCACAGACATCCAGAGGAGCAAAGGGCAAGGAAAGAATTTCAGCTTATTCCTCTATCCTTAGCCACAATGAGCATTTAAAGATAAATTCCAGGTATGGATATTTTTTCATAGTTACATCGATCCAGCTTGATCCAATATAACTATGTATATTCCATACCTGTGTGATCCCTCTAGAAGCTGGAAACCACTGTAGTAGGTACCCCAACTCCAGTGATCTCTGCTAGCCTCTGGATCCTGTGCTGAGGGGCTGTCCTGCTGCACAATGAACAAAGGCGTTCAGCCGTTGGGAACCAGCGCCATTCTGAGATGGTTTTGAATTGTCCTAATGCAAACCATTCTCTGATTGAACAAGGTGGGAGAAGTGGTGCAATGACATCACAGGTAGGGTATATGCATAGTTACATATGGCTCATTGTAACTTTGTAAACATATCCTTACCTGGAATTCTTCTTTAACTCTTGCATTGAAGGGAGAACCCACTGCAAGTGTAGTTTTTATTTAAATCTCAGAGTTCAGCTTTAAGCACACATTGACAATGGCAGTTCCATTATTTCTTATTTGGTTTGGTTCCCTGTAATCAGTGGGTTTCCCTGGTGCAAGCTGCATTTTGATGATAAAACAGCAAAAAACTAATTGGAACAAAATCATCCCCAACCTCTGATATTCTTTTCCTCACCACTTTTATGGAACTCTGCGACTTGCCTGCGTGCCACCAAAATTGGATTCTAATTTTCATGAGGTTTTCTGATGTCACTATCATTACATGGTTTGCTATTTGTAAAGTGCCAGTTTAATCAATCTTGTATGTACCGTCACATGAATCAATGAAAGTATTAAAGATCAGAACATCATTTGGACATATCTGTACACTGACACATTGCAGGAACCTTACCTCGTACTTCCACCTTGGCTTCACATTGCTTAGTCCCATACTCATTTATTGCTTTACAGGTATAGAAACCGGTGTCCCTCTTATCAGTCCCAGAGATGTGGAGTGCAAAGATCCCGTCTTCCTCCTCAACCATGTGACATTTAGCTCCTGGTTTCAGCTGCTGCTTATTCTTTAACCTGGAAAGATAGAGCGAGCCATACAGTATATGCATTTCTCAAAGGAGAGCAAAAACACAAAGGCGTCCAGTCTAATTTAAAAATATGAATATTATTTATAGGAAAATGCATAGGTTTTTTTTTTAACATTATTTTAAATAAATATGTAAAGAAACTCTGAAGGGACAAACCCACATGGAAGAAAAAAAAAATTTTAAATATATTTTAAAAATATTCTTCCCAAATATATTGACATATATTTGGCCGTATTCAATATATTTTAAAATATATTTCAGTAAAAAAAAAAAAAAAAAATATATATATATATATATATATATATATATATACTGTATTTTAAAATGCGTTTTTATTACAAAATATATGAAAAATATTTTTAAAAATACTTTTTCAAATATACTGTCTTAAAAATACATTTAATCTACATTTTTGGAATGCATTTAGAAATATATGTAAAAATATTGTTAAAATTAGTTTTTTATATGTTAAAAAAAATCTGAAGAATATATTTAAAAAAATATATATTTTTAAAAATATTTTTCATATATTTTGTAATATATAAAAAACGCATTTCAACATTTCAACATGCAGTATATATATATATATATATATATATATATATATATATATATATATTTGAATACGGCAAAAATTGTAGTATTTCAAATATATGTCAATATATATTTGGGAAGAATATTTTTTAAATATATTTTTTCTTCCATGTGGGTAGTAACAGGTTCTCTTGTAAGAAGAACCTCCCTACACCTAGTGACACCCACGTTTACTGAGCTCCTCTGACATTTTGCTTCTTGTCTAAGCCAGGAGTTCTAACCATGTGTAAGCTCTATATTGCACAATGATGGAGCCTACACAGGGTTAATTCCTTCTTCTGTTTCATGTGACATTGTTCAGGCCGAGATATTGGCCATTCAGTCCTGGATATTGCTTCCTACGGGGAGGGCACTTGCTCCTCTATAAATTGACAGACCAGGTATTTACCGCAGGCACCAAGCAACATGCAGTGCATGAAAAAGGACCCTAATGGCAGGATTACCAAGTATTATTTTCATCAAAACTTTATATTTAGAAAGAAAAAAAAATATTTTCAGAAGTAAATTTTATTCAAAAGAATTTTAAGAAACAATTTTATTTGAAAATCTTTTCTAAGAACTTTCACTCGAATTTTGCACCATTAGTGGGCCACAACAATGGTCCGATTTTTGAACGACCATCAAATTTGAGTGATTGGGCATGTTCACAAGAAATGGGATTGAAAAAGAAATAAGCATGAGCTGTGACCTGGAAAGAAAAGAAAATAATTGGCCACAAAAATTCTTTTCTATAGCAACATGAGGTGAAATTAAAGGCTTAGTTAGTCAAATTTAGAAATCAATGGTGGCACTATCGGATTACAAAATGCACAAAATTTCCGAAAATTCTTTCGGAATTCGATCCATGTATGGCCTGCATTAAACCCGTTTTTAGTGATTGAGTTTTGATCTATTTTAAAGTCCAACTAAACTTTCTGTGTAAATTAGCTAAATACTGTATATTCCAACTGCAACAAACCAAAAGATGTTCAAAGTCTTACAGTTAATTTTCTTTAGAAAAACAGATACAGCCTGAGTAGAAAAAGTCTATCGCCTGGCAAAGAAAGTCAGGACATGGACTGAACAAAGCTAAACGGGAGGGCTAGCATGACTGGGGCTTGCAGACAAGGAGGAGACTGGATTTGGGTGGGAGTATAGGCAGATAGGGGTGGTTACTCACCTGACTGGAGCAATCGGGCTTGAGGGTGGTCTTGCTAGGATGAGGAGAGGGGTTGGGACTTGTCAGAGGTCAGTTAGACCTTGTGCCAGCACCGGTGAGGTTTCTCCCACCCTCCCTCCCTGAAGCTGTTTAGTTGTTTGTTTTGCTGTTTTGTTTTGTTTTGTTTGCTTTGTTTATTGGTTTTGTCCTTTTTGTGTTTGTCCTGTTTGTTTTGTGTGGGTTCCTTGCTTTGTTTCTTTTCCTGATCCCTATTTGATGTCCTGGGGTGTTGTCTGGTTTCCTGTTTTGTCATGGCAGCCGGCAGGGGTCTCTGGGTCTTTGAAGGCGGTGCTGGAGTGACAAGTTGGTGGATTATGGGTTGGGCCCATCATAGGTATGGGTGTCCCTTCCCAATTATAAGGTCACGTTGGTAAGGTGGGAGTTCATTGGCTGTATCTGGGACTACGTAACTGTAGTATTGTCCCCGAGGCGGTGTTGTAGCGGCTGGGGGGCTTTTCATTGGGCGTCAGATACAGCCGAGTTGTTGATCTGAGTAACAGTGCCTTCGAAGACCTTGGACCCGGTTGGGATTATTACTGTCAGTTATTATTTGATTGTACCAGAAGAAGTGTTATGTAAGAGTTATGTTAAATAAATGGGCTGCTATGGCCGGTTTTACACCAAAAAGGAGAGTCGCATGGTTATTTAGGTGGGGGAGGTTGAAGGGGGGTGGTTGTTTTATGGTTTAGGTGGTAAGTACTAGCCTTGATATTCTGCATGTCCCTCAGTCAAGGATGTTTGTGTGGAACAGTGGTCTCTCTGCAGAAGTACGACATGCCCCCCAATGCTGAACCAAGTCATCAGCTCTGTGATCAGCAAAGCTCCTGATTAGAGAGCTCTGATTTAGCAGGGGGTGTGTCAGACCTCTGTAGAGAGACAGCTGCTTCCCTGCAGAGAGCTAGAGTCTTTCATTAAACATGTTGGCAGGGGACAGGCTTTTCTTCACATGCTGTAGCTACTTTCTAAAGAAAACAAACTGCAAGATGTTAAACACCATTTACTGTGTTGCACTTGGAATATATTTTGCCAATTTACACTGAAAGTTCAATTGGGCTTTAAGGCCTGGTTAACACTATTGCGGGTGGTTGCTGGGGCAAGAATCATACCTATTTCTGCACCCGCAAACATCCACAGCCAAAACGAACTGCTCTTTAAAAAGGCCATTAATTCATAATTGCACCCTTACGTATTAAAAACATAGCACGTTTGTGGGAACCCCCAGGAAATTTCAGGGTGCAAAAACAGCCTGCGATTTCCCTGCTGCTGCATTTTAAAAATGGTGCAGGAACCTTGTCCCTGCATGAAAGGCAGGCACAGCAGCCCATTCAAATGAATGGGCTGCCATGCCTGCACAAACGCGGCTTGCAAAGCCGCAATAGTATGAACCAGGCCTAATAGGGTGTACAGCCATGCAAATGTAGCAATTGCAAACAAGAAGATGTAGGGCACTCTGTACACGAAAAAATTTTAAACTGACTGTTCATACCCACTACACCTTCTATTCTACACAAGACAGAAATTTCATAACTTACAGCTCAGCTCTACATCCAGCCCATAGTGAGCTAATGTTTACATGATTCTGTTTAGATATCACTCACCAGCTAATCATAGGTTTGGGTTCCCCTTCTACATGTACTCGTAGAATGACTTCCTGGCCTTCAAACACCATCTGGTCTGACAGCACCACCTAAAAATAAAGATTATGAGAATGGTCAACAGAAAGGAAAACCTACATAACAAATTGTCATTGGACCACTATAGAAGAATTCCAGGTATGGATATTTTATACATAGTTACATTCGTCCAACTTAGACCGATATAACTATGTAGTATATACCATACCTGGTCGATGCCCCTAGAACCTAGAAATCACTGAGGTAGACACGACTGCTCCAATGATCTCCACTGGCTTCCAGGTCCTGGCTGCCCTGCTACCCTCTGAACACAGGCGGATCCCCACTCGTTTTGGGCGCCATTCAGAGAACATTTTGCATTTTCAGAATGGATTCAAAACATTATCTGATTAAATGAGGTGGAGAATGTGGCACCACCTTCCTGCCTCTCCACCTCGTCCAATCAGAGAATGCTTTCCATTCAGTCAGAAAATGCAAAGCGTTCTCTGAATGGTGCCCATACCAAGCTGAACTTAATTCCTTAATAAATATGGAAAAGTTAATGGCCCAGTTTTATGAAAAATACCCTCAATTCTCTTCCTCTTGGGGTCCCTGGATCCCCTCTCCTGACTTGGCATCCCCTCTTTCTCCATTCCTCCTTTATATCCCCCATTTCCCTTTTTCTCATCCTTCCTAATCTCTCCTTCAGACCTTCTGCTGGTTTGGACTAGCAGTCTCCAAACTGCCTTTGGGGAATATTCCTCCTACTGGTATGAGGCACTATTTCTTCCACTGACCCAAACAACGAGGCATCATTCTTTCCAGTGACATCAGTGGGGCATTATTCCTCCCACTAACACCAATAATGGGGCACTATTCCTTCCAATGACACCAATGAGCCACTATTCCACCCACCGACACCAACAATGGGACACTATTCCTCCCTACTGACACCAACAATGGAGCACTATTCCTCTCACTAACACCAACAATGGGGCACTATTCCTCTCACTAACACCAATGATGGGGCACTATTCCACCTCCTACTGACCACAGGTGATATGTAATTTTTTTTACTCACACTGACCACCAAGTCCGAGGTATTGTGAACCCCCCCCCCCAGCCACAGTCTGGCCCTCCCCCAAACGTTGAAGGATGGTAAACTGGTCCTCATAGGATGAGTAGGTCTACTCAATTATTAAGACTTTCTAATACCCTCCCGTTCTTTCCCCAAGGGAAGACATTAATATTAATTTATAGACAGATGTACAATTCTTTCATCCTGTATATCAGATGTACTATCCCTCACTTTTTGTTCTTTTCCATGCCGTACTGTTTATTTTGCATGATGGAAAATTTGAATAAAACTGTAATATCAGAAAATAAGAAACTGCTGCATTGGAGGCGGTAATGGTAATTGTAAGTATTATAAATGTACCTTCCTAAGCTACACTTTATTGCCAAAAGTATTGGGCCGCCTGCCTTTACACGCACATGAACTTTAATGACATCCCATCCTTAGTCTGTAGGGTTCACTTATGAGTTGGCCCGCCTTTTGCAGCTATAACAGCTTCAACTATTCTGGGAAGGCCATCCACAAGGTTTAGGAGGGTGTCTATAGGAAGGTTGGACCATTCTTAAAGAAGCACATTTGTGAGGTCAGGCACTGATGTCAGATGAGAAGGCCTGGCTCGCAGTCTCCACTCTAATTCATCCCAAAAGTGTTGAGGTGTCAGGTTGAGGTCAGGACTCTGTGCAGGCCAGTCAAGTTCCTCCACCCCAAACTGGCTCCTCCATGTCTTTATGGACCTTGCTTTGTGCACTGGTGCGCAGTCATGTTGGAACAGGAAGGGGCCATCCCCAAACTCTTCCCACAAAGTTGAGAGCATGAAATTGTCCAAAATGTCTTGGTATGCTGATGCCTTAAGAGTTCCCTTCACTGAAACTAAGGGGCCAAGCCCAACCCCTGAAAAACAACCCCACACCATAATCCCCCCTCCTCCAAAGTTTACACTTGGCACAATGCAGTTAGGCAAGAACCATTCTCCTGGCAACCACCAAACCCAGACACGTCCATCGGATTGCCAGACAGAGAAGTGGGATTCGTCACTCCAGAGAACACGTCTCCACTGCTCTAGAGTCCAGTGGCGGTGTGCTTTACACCACGGCATCTGACGCTTTGTATTGCACTTGGTGATGTAAGGCTTGGATGCAGCTTCTGAGCCATGGAAACCCATTCCATGAAGCTCTCTACGCACTGTTGTTGTGCTAATCTGAAGGCCACACGAAGTGTGGAGGTCTTTAGCTATTGACTCTGCAGACAGTTGGAGACTTCTGCGCACTGTGTGCTTCAGCATGTGCTGACTTCACTCTGTCATTTCACATGGCCTACCACTTGGTGGCTGAGTTGCTGTTGTTCCCAGTTGCTTCCACTTTGTTATAATCCCACTAACAGTTGAGCGTGGAATATTTAGTAGCCAGGAAATTTCACGGATGGACTTATTGCACAGGTGACAACCTATCACGGGACCACGCTTGGAGTCACTGAGCTCCTGAGAGCGACCCATTCTTTCACAAATGTTTGTAGAAACAGTCTGCATGCCTAGGTGCTTGATTTTATACACCTGTGGCCATGGAGGTGATTGGAACACCTGAATTCATTGATTAGGAGGGGCGTCCCAATACGTTTGGCAATACAGTGTAGGTCTGTTTACTTTTTTTAAGTTATGGACAGAGTCTCTAAGGTTTTATCGATGCAGTATTGCACCCCTCTCAAGGCACATCAGTATTATGCAGTAAACATAGGTATTATCTAGACAGCCAAGTACCCAAGGTCCCATGCTTATTTCACCTTGAACAAGGGAGGGGCTTTGAAGGTCACCATAGTGGCTTTGCCAGGCATTACGTGCTGAGGTGTTGCAGGCTCACTTAAATCTTCCTGGGGGCTCAGGTACTCATCATCAGATGTAATGGGGCTCAGAACATCTTTCGGAGTGCCGCGGTGAGCAGGAGAATCGGTTGCAGGTGCTGCAGAGGAAAATAACATGATTTTTAGATGCTTGACCTGGATAATCTTTTATAACACATGTGGCCAAAACATATTAAAGCCCTTCTGATATAAAAAGTGTTATAAGTATTACACATTATAAATTGTATTTTTTACAAATGCTGCTGTTTTGTTTTGTTTTTGGCGAGGAATCTCAACTCAACCAAACTTGTCCTAAAACAGTGTTAGGCAAGTCAAATGCCATTTTGCCCAAGCCTACTTTGTCATCTATTCTGCAGCACTTTGCAGCTGCAAGGAGGTCACCATATTACGACAGATGCATGTCTTCACTGGGCAACTCTTTCTGTTTCTTTGTAATCCAGTGATCAGAGGCAGGATCGGACAAGGAGATGAAGTAAAACTCCTGATAGGCACTTGTATGGCTGGAGAAGCAATGGGGGAGATTTACTAAAACTGGAACACTCAGAATCTGGTGCAACTGTGCATGGGAGCCAATCAGCTTCCAACTCCAGCTTGTTCATTTAATCATTGACAATAAAAACTGGAAGCTGATTGGTTTCTATGAACAGCTGCACCAGATTCTGTATGCTCCAGTTTTACTAAATCTCCCCCAGAGTGTGCCTAGGCACACTTAGTAAATAAGGTGAATCTGTTTTATCCGGTCAACCAATTGCTTTTCATTTCCCTCTCATGTGATTGGATATTCAATGAAAACAGGTTCATACTATTTGCTATATTATAGTTACATACAGTAGTTACATAGTTATTCTGGCTGAAAAAAGACAAATGTCCATCCAGTTCAACCATTAAAAAAAAGTTATAATCCTATACCCACAGTTGATCCAGAGGAAGGCAAAAAAACCAGCAAAGCATGATCCAAGTTGCTCCTGCTGGGAAAAAAATTCCTTCCTGATCCCCCGAGAGGCAATTAGATATTCCCTGGATCAACTTTACCTATAAATGTTATATCCAGTTTGCAAAGGTGAACATACACTAAGCTAAGTGAACACCCTCTATATTCCCTTTTGCAGCCCATAGATACAATTTTCTTTCCTTCCATCACGGAAGACCATTGACTGTGATGATGGGGGAATCCCTCCCACAGCACTATTGTGCAAGTAGGGAGCCTTCCTGGCCAGCAGAGCGCAATGTTCAGTGATGGTGGCTATAGGAGCTGGTAGTAATCGTATGTAAAAGATCGGACAGACTTAAACAATAAAAATGTGAAAAACTGTATTATTTTTTATATATTTTAGAAACTGCAACTTTTGCAGAATGCATGTCTACGCTGTAAGAATAATTCTTATCAATGATGTGTGAATTCATATCGTCATTTACTTTTTTATACTCCTCCTCCATTGTACTAATGCCAAAAAAACATTATCCACAAAATTATCCCTGACACACATGCCTAAATGAACAAATGCACTCACACACATTTCAATGCACTTATAAAGCATCATCTTGCCCTATCATCCTCTTGGCACACTGCTGGCACACCTTTATTGTACTAAATATTGACAAAATTAATTTTCCTAACTAATATCTAGCTGGTAAAGATTGTGCCAATTTGACGCAACATGTCGCACTTTAGGATTTCTTAACCTCCCTGGCGGTATGATTATTTCAGATTTTTTGTGCTGAAAGCGGTACCATTTTTTTGCATGGAAATATGTAGTTTTTTTTATTGTATGCTGTAATTTTTAGGAATAACTCACTGAAATCTGTCCGAACAAGAGTATAGTAAACATCCCGGGGAGGATAAAATTTGAAACATGAAATCATAAATTATATTTTAATAAATAATCATAAAAAATAATAATATAATAATAATACATTTAATTCAATAATATAATCAAACCAAAAACACTAAAATTTGAAATATAGCGCCAAGTTCGCATATCGCTGAGCAAAGTCACAAAATCGTTTTCAGTGTTTGATGAGGAATTTCCCCCACGAATCATTATCACTCAATTCTGCAAGTGGTTCTGATTTACTATCGCTGTTCTCTAGCCGGTCTAAAACCGCTTTTGACATAAAGGATGCTTTTTGGACGCCATGGACGTTTCTCAGTTTCCAGGCAGAAAAAACAGACAAAATGCAGGCAGGGCGCAGGACAAAGCACTCGGGACAAAATGTATGTGAAATGGGTTGAAACAGCAATGTTTTACTATGTAAAATTTGTTTGGAAAAAAAATGACATTTTTTAAAATTTTTCAAATTTCCCGCCGCCGGCGGCGGCGCCCGTACGTCCCGACGTCACAGGGACCAGAGAACACAGAAGCCAGATGCCGTCATAGGCCGGAGGAGATGGCCGGGGACGCTGCAGGGGACACATCGCAGGAGCGCAGGACAAGGTAAGTGCTGCAGGGAATCCCTATGCAGTGCTGCATGGTAAGCCCGAGTGTTGCTCAGGGTTACTGCTTTTGGTACTGACATTTTACCCCGAGCTACACTCGGGAATACCGCCAGGGAGGTTAATGTAGCCGTAATTATTTTATGTAGTCCATAAATCAATATTCCATATGACAAATTCTTGGTGCACCCTAAATAGTTTTTTGGGCCTGGTATTTATATTTGCCATATGTAGAGAAAATAGCGAAGAAACAACAGCGCTCAACCTCACAAATCCTGAAGGACTAGAAACACCGGAGCACAGGCCAGAGTAACTGCTAAGACTTCAAATGCTGATCAAGACAGCAGAAAGCCAACAACACAGTCATGTATCAAACAACCAATCCTTTCTTGGCTACATGGAAAAATCTAGAACACAAGGAGGCTTACGTGTTTCAGCTAAACAGCCTTACTCATAGCTACAGTATATAATATAAGTAAGACAATTTAGCTGAAATATGTAAGGCCCCATGTACACGGGACACTTCTGAATGATGGAAACTGACTGCTGGAAAACGTAGATTAAAAAACATCTGTTTAGCCGCGTTTGCATACCACGTTTATGAGCGTTTATTAGCGTTTGCCTTTAGAAGCGTTTTTTTATAGATAACCTCAGGAGACCTTCCAAAATGCCCAGAATGCACTGAAAAACAGTAAAAAATTAACTATTTCAGACATTTTGAGAGTAATAGAGAGATCAGAAGAAGAGAGAGCAGTATTTGTTGAGATTAGCTGTCTTTTTTTTTTTGGTGGTGTTTTCAGATGAAGTCCAGAAGTGACGAAACGCGTTAGGAGATTTGACGTCAAGACGCACGCACGCTAACCGGAAGTGTCGCCGCGGCCATTTTGTTGGTTTGAAAGATATGGTTTTCAGCCATTGATTGCTGATTATATTAGAGAACCATTGAAAGAGCTGGAAGTTCCTTTTTTCAGATGTGAGTTGCTAATAAATTTGTCCCTATGCCTTGGTGATCAGTCTAAAAGAGTCTTCTTATCTTTGTGAGGACCTTGGAAATCTAATCCCGGAAATGAAGGAATGGGAAGAGTTTTGATTCCATAGTATTGAACATGCATACAAATACTCACAGAGGGTAATAGTATTTAGCACTACTGTTTGTTGGGTCACAGTGTGCACACAGTGTTGGAATGGTCACGGAGTGTTCACAATCTGTGTATTATATATATATAAAAATTACTTATAATTATATATATATATATAGATTTTTTTTTTTGTGTGTTTTTGCACATTTTGAATGGTTTGTGATTTGCACGAATTAGAGTATTATTTATTTATTTAAGGGTAATGCACTATAGTTTATTTCTTTGTTTTGAGGTTTTTCACTGAAAAATTAGGATTATTATCCTTCTTACTGGATGGAAGTTTGGAATTTGGACTTTTGGATTTTGTTGGACACATTTTGTTGGACACATTTGAATTGGACATTTTATGATTGTATTTGGTGATAATTTTGAATTATTTTAATTTTAATTGTATTTGAATTTTACACAAAAAGGTATTTTATTACACTGTACTTTCTAGGGAGAAAGTGTGACTTTTTGGTGGGATTTAGGAGGTCACGTATCTATTTATTTTATGTTTAGAACATACATAGTCATTGTTTGAAAATGAATACAGACTGTAACTGCATTAAATTTAGTAAGAGAATGTATTCTCTCTTGAGAAGAGGAGATTAAGGGGGGATATGATCTCCATGTATAAATACATCAGTGGTTCATATAGTGAACTTGGTGTAGAGCTATTCACCCTGAGGTCATCACAGAGTACAAGGGGGCACTCTGGAGGAAAAGAGATTTAACCACTTCAATACCGGGCACTTATACCCTCTTCCTGCCAAGGCCAATTTTCAGCTTTCAGTGTTGTTGCACTTTAAATGACAATTGTGCGGTCATGTAACACTGTACCCATAAAAAAAATTTTTAGCATTTCATTTTTTTCACACAAATAGAGATTTATTTTGTTGGTATTTAATCACTACTGAGTTTTTTATCGTTTGCTAAATAAACAAAAAAAAAAAACCCTAAACTTTTTTAAAAACACATATTTTTCTTTGTTTCTGTTATAAAATTTTACAAATAAAAAACATTTCTTCATAAATTTAGGTCAAAATGTATTTTGCTACATTTCTTTGGTGAAAATACCCCAAATTAGTGTATATTATTTAGTCTGTAGGAAAGTTATAGAATTCACAAACCATGGTATATATACAGTATATCTGACAATTGATCAATCCTGATGTACTGACGGCCCATTTCAAATCTTGAGACCCGAAAACGCCAGGATAGTACAAATACCCCCCAAATTACCGATTTTTAGAAAATAGACAGTCCAAGGTATTTAGTAAGAGGTGAGTTTTTTGGAGGTTGAAATTTTTTGGAAAATGTAGAAATTGAAAAAAAAAATGACAATTTTGTTTTTTACATATTGTCACCAGTCCAGTACAGCGTTATTATATAACTGGTGTGGCAGTGATCAGGGACAC